CGGGGTCGCCGGTGGCAGGCAGGTCGGCCGTGGTGACGCTGAGCGCCTGCCGCGGGGCTGCGCTCCAGGCGGGCGGCGCCGCCAGGCTCCCAGGCTCCTGCTTGGCGGCCAGCAGGCGGCACGTTGCGGCGGTGCGCGCCCCGGCGGGGCGGCCCCTCTCCCGCTTGCGCGTCGAGACCTCGTCCTCGCTGCCCCAGCCGCCGCTGCGCTGGCGCGCAAGGGGCCGCGGCTGCGTGGCGCTGCGCCGCTCCATCTCCTCGTCGATGGCCTGCATCGCCTTCCAGCGCTGCACCAGCTGCAGGTGCGGCGCCAGCTCGCCCGGCCCCTCTCCCGCCTTGCCCTCTGCGCCCGGCGCGCTTGACGCTGCGGCTGCAGGGGCGGGGGTGGCGCTGCGCGGCCCGTCCGCTTCCAGCCAGAGGAGCCAGCGGTCCGCCGGCTCGGGCTCGCCCACCGACTCGCCGGAGCCTTCCTGCATCAGGCCCTCCCAGTCGCCGGTCTGCGCCGGGTCCACCTTGACGCGCGACGCCGCTTCGCTGCTCGGGGCGGCCTCGCCGCTCACCAGCGTGCTCGCCGAAGCTACTGGGTGCGCTGAGGGGTCGGGGCGGGCCGGTGGAGCTCGCGCGGCGGCGGCCCCTTGCAGGAGCCACAGGTGGTGCTCGGCCTGGATGCGCTGGTGCTCCTCCCAGCGCCACGTGTCCAGCTGGCGCAGCCGCAACAGGTCCGCATCAGCAGCGGCCTGCACGGAGGGGAGACGGCTCAGACGAAGAACCTCGGTCGAAGGGGAAAGGTTGGACTGGCACTGCAGGCCGGCAGCACAAGGGGTTGCACAAGGCTAATCTGCTAGCACACCCGTCACCAGGTGGAGATGAGGTGATTCCACGTGTATGCAGATAGGAGCAGCTCGACTGGGAGGAGGAGTCACATGGAGACCGAGTGTTTGTGAGAACGGGGCACCTGTGGGCTCTGAATGGTGGCCACAAAACGAGTCAACCAGGAGGGGAAGCCTGCACGAGGCGTAAGCTCCCTTGCGCAGCTGGTTCTGCTCGGGCAGCAGCATCTCACGCGACATACCTGGGGTGGCAGCGGCACGGCCAATGGCCAGGGGGAAGGGACGGCGGGCGAGGGGAGGGCCATGGGCGGGGGGGACTGGGAGGGCCGCCCCAGCGCAGTGAGCGTGGACGAGGGGGCGGCGGACGTGGTCGGGCTCTGCAACGAGGAGAGGCGCACAGGCAAGGATGAGGCACGCGGCGGAGGGGGGACAGGGAGGGCACAGGAGTGGGCACCAGAGGCATTGGGGGTATATGCGGGAGGGGGTGGAGCAGGATGGGATGCTGGATAGAGGCGAGGCAGGGAGGCGCCACTGACCGGCTCCTGCGGCGCGGCCTGGGCGGTGCGCAGGGAGTGGATGAAGCGCTCCAGGACGTCGGGCTTGTCCTTCCACACCTTGCTGCCGCCGCGCAGCCGCTGCTCCAGCGTGTACTGCAAACAGATAGCAAGAGACGGGCCTGAGCCAGGGGGAGGGAGGGGGGCGGACTGTGGTCACCCAGGGGAACGATGGAGGCGGACTTTGCCAGGAACAAGCCAGACGTTTGGGCAGCTCACACCTGCTAAAGCTCGGACCTTGAGACAAATGGTTGTTGCTCCTATCCATCTCTGAGCTGGGCACATGAGGAGCACCGTGCACATGACCTGCTAGCATGATCGCAGGGCCCAATGCATGAGCTCGAGTACCTTGTGCATCTCCTCAACAGCCAATCATGTCGCTGCCCTACTGATCAGAACTGAGATCCTCAAAGTCAATGAGGATGAGCCAAGCCACACTTCTGACATCTGTTGCAGCATGTTGAAAGCCCTCAGCATAACCAAAAGACGAACTCTCCGCCTTCAGAAGAGCGGGCCAGTATCCCTCTTCGGCTA